TTCAGGTAGGAGTTTGCATAGTTGACCTGTACTGTTCTGAACAAAGCGAGGGATCACTTAGTGGCTGGGTGAGTGATGCCTAAAAACACGTTGTGTTCCTTGCTTCGCAAAAAACTATTGCTGAAAGGCGAGTGCTGGAAGTGGAGATCATGTATTAGGTATTAAGGTGCCTCACTGGGACTGGTAGCAAGCTGGCTTTATAGAATATTAATATTTTTTGTTTACTTGCTTGTTTGCAAGGATCTGTCCTCAAAGGTGGAGGAGGATGTGCAGTTGTCTTCATAGTTTTGCTTATGGTACTTGGGCTGTATTGGTGGCTGGTATAGAGTTGTATCACTGCTGGGATTTTGCTGTTGGAGGTGGCTGAACTGGATGAGGTCTGTTTATCTGAAGTGTAAGAGCATTAACTCTAGAATTCACTTGATTTGAACTGGGCAAGGACAGCACAAGATGAAACGAAGGCATTTGTTCTTGGATTGTGTGCAAAAGTAGGAGTTGGAGCTCTGCAGTGTATTATCTGCTGGCTTTTGTATTCAGCACGAGTAATGAGGCTTGGATAGCGTACATTAGCACTCCGGTAACATAGCATTTGATTGCTGGCAGTCTCTTGACTTGTGTGTTTTGGCTAAATTTTTGCATTAAAAGATTTTCAGTGTTTTTGTCCATTTCCCTTATCAATCAGTGGATGAACTGCAGAGACAAGCACATTCAGAACTATTGCGCTGGTCAAAGTTGGCATAACCAACCTTGTACTTTGAGGTGGAAAAAAATGGGTTCTGCAAAGGCTAGACAGTGATTTTTCTGAAGCTGACCTGTTAATCTCTTGTGCTCTCTGCTATATGATGCATGCAGCCACTTCAGCTTCAGAGTATAAGTGTCCTCTGTGTGTGGGAGAGGGATTGTTGGAACTGAGTTATTAATTCAAGTAAGTTAAGCTTGATGCTTTTCTCTGTTCCAGCAATTTGGGAAAAACACAGCCAGAACTTGCCAAAGGCAGAAAATAACAGCAAAGGGTTTTCTTGGGAATTTTAAGTAAACTGACTGTGAAACGCTAAAAACCTGCCCTAGGGGGTAGCTGTGTACAGCTGGGGTGCAGAGTTTTGTCCTTTGCAGCGCATGTCCATGGACCACTGGTATGGGTAAAAAAAAAAAAAAAGACAGCTGCTGAATGAGAAATCTGGTCTGTTTTGTGCTTGTTGCCTTCAAGCCTGCCCTGTTTAAATGACCATAACAGGTTGGGGCTCCTTCCGAGCTGGCTTTTGTCAGAGTTCTCAAGAGCTGACTCTTCGGATGGGTCTCAGATTCACGGAGGGGGGTTCGTAGTTCAACAGCTATTGCTGGGGCTAATTGTTTGGAGCAAGGAAGCAGCGTGGTTCAGAAAGATCCAAGTGAGCCTGCAAAACTCCTTCAGCTGGTGACCAGTTTGTCTTTATTGTTCCTCAGTTTAGTGACTTGTCCGCAGTAATAGATGGTTCTTATTGTGATGGTAAGTTTATGGAAGGTATTTTTGGCACCTGTTTTCAGCCTAGCAGTCCTTTGTGCTTCTTTCCAGCACACCAGGTGTTAAAAGTAAACTTATTTTTTTTTTCCCCATGCTGAAGATAAAGCTCCTTGGCTGTCTGCAGTTCTGCTGCCTTTGCAGTGAGGGGAACTGCATCTCCTGGGGTTTGTTGTTAATGAGTGCAGGGGAAATAGCTGGTGTTGTCTCTTGCCCTCTGTGTGTTCTTCCTACTTGAAGCAAGGGTTAGTTTTCCACCGAGAGCCTGGCCAGAGCTTGCCAGCTGCCCTCCAGGGCTTTGGTTCGGAGAATGCCAGGTGAAATCTGGGGACAAGGAATACCTGCTGCATGAAAGACTCAGTTATTTTACAGCTTCAGGGTAGTAGTGAACAGGCTTAAGCTTACTACAGAGGAAGTGCTTGGTCAGAGCAGTGTGCTCCAGCTTGTTTTTATTGCTTGGCTAGAGCTGGAGAGCAGACTGACTGTAAAAATAGCCAGATGGGAGGGAAAAAAAACGTATAGCCCGATGCAGCTTGAGTAACAAACTGCTCTGCAGCCGGCTACGTGCTAAAACCTGTATTGCTTTTGCATTAAGTGGAAGTGCTACAACAAGGTGTCAAGCTCTGCTTAAGATACCCAGGTCACTGCTGTTCATACACTGTCTAATCCAGCCTCTTCCTGAAGCTGAGTAGATCTTAAGCTCTGACTAATCTTCTCTGAAGTGTGAACTTGTGCTGTTGTCCTCCAGCAAGCTCCATGCCACTATCTCTAGCTTTCACTGAATGTAGAGGTCTAGGTTAGCTTTGTTCTAGTTGTTGTGGATTTTCCAAGCAAATAACTCCCACATTATTTTTACCCTTTGTGAATATACAGCTATGACCAACAGTGCTTCCTGGACTCGGGGAACCAGTATGGGGGCACCCTGGGACTCTTGTATCAGGCTTGAACTGGCTGCCCATGTTATCTACTAGCCAGGAGGAAAGATTCTTAACGCTTTGTTGTTTTAATTAATGGATCTCTAAAAGCAGCTTTCCCTCTTAGTACCTGACATTCCTGATCCTAGTAAAGATTTGGCTTGTTGGGAAGAGATTAATTTTTCCGTCCTTCTGCTAACCACCTTCTGAGTGTCTTGGGCTATTTGAAGCGCTACAGCTAGGAGGCTACAAATGTGATATATGGTTGCAAGGTAAATGCTATTACTGTCTTTCAAGTGCAGCTAGAGTTCTGTTTAGGTTTAAGCACTGCTAAAACTACTTGAGTACCCTAAAAAACTCCTGTTTTTTAGGAAAACTCTATTTAGGTCCAACCTTTTTTTAGTTTTGTTTTGGATTTTTTTTGGGGGGGGGTTGTATTTCTTTATTAAAAAAGAACATCCTGATGTTTCAATATGTCTTAACTGGCACTTGCTAAAGGAGTGTGAGGTGGATGGAACCTATATTCATCAGTGTGGCAAGGCAGGTCCATGTCATTGGGCACTATCAAATTAACTTGTGTGGTATACTCATAGTGCTTTTTAATTACAAAAATACATAAATATTTAGCCTGGAAGAATAGCTGAATACTGTCAGCTTTTAACTATGTCTTTTGGCAGGGTGTGTAAAGGAGAGGTGGGTGGCCACCCGTCCTAGAGAGAGAGGAGATGCTAAAAAGGAAAGTGGAAGGTATCTATGCTCTTGCTGGTGAACAGCTTCTTGGTGGCTTCTCTTTGTCCCTGAGCACCTGGAGTGTGTGTGTGTGTGGCCTGTGATGGGAAATTATTCCAGCAGCTCAAGCTGCTGAGGGCCAGGGAGAGAGGGACTCGCTGTGCCCTGAAGGCTCACCCAGATAATGGAGCCTGTGGCAGTTGACTCTGACCGATGTCTCTAAGCTGGTTATGTCGAGGTGGTTTTCTGTGCTATGGGCAGCCCTGCAGATCATGAGGGTCTTTGGCTAGAGAAGTCTTCCTCTCCTGTGTGGTATAAGAGATGTTTTGCAATGGAAATACGCATAGCTGTGTGACCAGACATGACAGAAGCTTTCTGATGTCTTGGTGGTGTTTAGCTGGCTGGATGCAGTAATCCTTTCCAAGAGGAGAAAAATGTACATGAGTAGCAGGACACACAGGACACATTGAAGGTGGACTAACACAGATGTGGTGGTACTGAGATTCCTCTTGCTACAGCAGTGGTTGCTTCTTGCACAGCATCACATGGGTGTAGAAGACATAGGAGTGATACTCCCTTGTGTAACAAAGCAGTGTTAGGTAGTCTGTGGTTGCACTGTGTACAAATGCAAGTAATATTTATCTGTGTGCTGTTGGGTTGGGGAAATAAGGAGTCCAGCAAGCTGGGTGCCAATGAACAAGACTGCAGAGGGAGATCTTTGTTTGTCTTTGAAATACTAATACTTGTTAGTCCTGTGGCTTGCAGGTAAGGGCACTTCACTTGTGAAACTGAACACACCAGTCAAAGGAAGTGAAGCTGTTGATGGCTGGAGGCTTCTTGCAGTAGAGCTTGACTGTGTCACTGACAAGCTGCCTCCTGGAATGGGGAGCAGGACCTTAACAGACCTGCTGTGGGATGGAGGAGCTGTTTGTTGTGCCTGTGAGATTTGTGTCACCACCTGACCTCGATGTGATAAGCAGAGCCTTGGATGGACGGCTCTTCTGCTGTTGGGTGATGGTGCAGCAAGCCCAGGACTAAGCGGAGGGAAGTAGCTGGGAGCAGGGTGCTGCTGTGAAGTCCTTCATCTATCCAGCAGCCTGAGCTGTGTTACTGGAGGCAACAGAGCCTGCCAAGAGCCAGCAGTCAGCTGGCTGGATCACTGCTGGGCTACTGGTTCAGTGCTCTATTGGAAACTCTCGAAGCATGCAGGAAACTTTCTGGAAGTGCCTTCCTGGTGCAGTGCAGCACGAACTGTGCTAATGCAGCAGAGCTGGTCTCTGAGCTGTGGCTTTGCTCCATGGGGCCAAGGACCTCATACAGGACATGACACTAATGCAGCCCTGAAGCATCTGATTTTGGCTCTGGTCCTGTGCTGTGCTCTATAGCCTCACCTTGTTCTCTGTGGGAGTTCCTTGGTTTTCTTCTTTGTCAAGGTACATAACAGGCCTGAGGCTTTGCTCTGGCCCTGGGCTCTGTAAAGGGTCAACAGGCTGATTCTCGTAATGTGCTTGAAGGTCTGATAGCTGCTGGGTAGAGTGTAGCACTCTGCCACTGGGGCAAGAGCTTGGCAAAGTCTATCTTGGGCTACAGATCAAGATTTAGTTTTCTTTGATATAAGAATTCACATTGGGTAGGCTAGGAACGAATCCCTCCATCTATTTTACTGTTACTTGGGATGTGTAGGAGGGGTCTGCTCAAAGCTGGCCACAGACTAGCAAGCTGGGAACTTGTCACCCTGTTATTTAAGGCCCTGGATCAACAGGTGGTTATGGGTATGTGTAATCTTTGTTCCTTTTTCCCTTTGTAGGTCTTGCACTCTGGACTTTCCAGCCTTTCAGGATTCTGGGCACATCTCAGCTATGGGTAGATCAATAGGGTTCAACATCTGCATGGTCACCTGCAGCATCCTGATCTTGTCCTCCAGTTCGCCATGCCTTGCATCTCAGCCACTGGAGGAGAGCGACATGACAAAGGTCCAGAATGGCCCCTGGGCAGGTAATGGGGTAGAAGATGAAAGGACAAGTATGCTGAACTTGAAAAATAACCTGGGACCTTCTGAGCAGACTGTCTCTGAAGAACCATGTGAAGTGTCAGCAAAGCCCTCTGGGTTGCCTTTAAGTGAAACTTTCACTGTGGAAGGAGAAATGCTGCCTGTGAGCCCAAGCCGTGTCATCCCAGGCAGCCTGGGGGCTCCCACCTCTGCTGTGACAGTGGCTGCTGTAGATGAGGAGCAACTTGGTCCCACGAAGTCAGAGCTGGATGAGGATGATGCATTCAAGGCTATGCTGACCACAGCCGTGACCACACTGAACCCTACTGTCCAGGAGGAATCTGCTGGTGGCCCTCTCAGTGAAACCACCACAGAGGGTGGTGTTGAAGTAGAGCACAGCTCAGCCAGCCTCTTGGCAACCCCTCTTTCTGGGACAGCTGTGGAGGAGGAGAAGGCAGAGAGCAACTTGAACCCCTCAGCTGTACCCCAGCCTGTGCCATACTCCAGCAATCCCAGCTGGGAAACAGCAAGTGACCGCCCTGTCATCCCAACTCCTCAGGCTCCTGGCATCACCTCTGAGGTGGGAACACCAAGGGTCCGCACAGGGAGCCCCCTGACGTCCTTGACTGCGCCAGCGTCTGTGGCTGCACGACGTCCCTTCCTGGTGACTGAAGCCTCCCTCCACTTGGAAGCGGGGATGAGTGTCGGGCAAGGAGAGCTGGCTGCCACAGCTGGCACTGTCACCATCCACCCTGTAGACACTGTGCCACCTGACTGGGATGACACAAAACTGGGGGGCATAAGTCAAGGGGGAAGCACCTCTCATGAGGAGGTGACGGAGGATCTGGGAGGTACAGAACCATCCCAGACCCTGCAGGGAGATGTAGAGGAGGAAGAAGAAGGAACAAGAGTGTTACCATCGCCAGTGTCCCCTCCATCAACTCCTGAGCTTGCCAAGGAGACTAACTGCACAGTGCCAGTGCAAGGGCACGAGTCTCAAGCAGCTTCTACGGGCAGCAGTGGTGCTCCCCACACTGCGAACCTGACGGGTGCAGACGCTGCTGATCTCAACTCTCTGGAAAACGTAAGTGCAGTCACAGCAGAGGAGGGGAAGAGCATCCCACCATCACAGCTGGAGGTGGCTGTGGTGACAGATACACAGTCTGATCTCTCTCCTACGCTGGAAAGCTCATGGAAAGGTAAAACTTGCCTCTTGCAGACGCTTGCTTCTAAGTGTAGGTTTAGGGGAGGGGTGTCATGAGGAATCTGTGCTTCCTTTCAGAGAGATAAAGTGGAGAAAAGTGTAATCTTGATGCCTGCAGTAGAGATGGGGCACCTCTTCTCCCCCAGGAGAGGTCATGGCCCTTTGTGGAGGGGGAACAGCCTAAATGGTTAATACATCTGCAAAGTACTGCCTGGCTTTGGCTGTTCCTAGACATGATGTCCCTGTGTACAGGCAGGAACAGTCTGTTGAGTAGTACTTGTGGGAAGCAACTGTACTGAGCTGCCTCTTCTGCTCCTCAGGCTGGGAGAGGGTGGCTGTAATGGCAGGCAGAAAAGCTGAGACTGGACATGTAGCAGCTGAGCCTGGGGTTGAGTATGGAGATCTGTGTAGAGGGTTGGATTCTCAGCAGCAGAGACTTGGTGCTGTTAAAAAAAAAAATTGCTTTTGTTCTGCATGTGTGGTGTGACCAAAACAGGGGCTTCAGTTTTGGTGTTCACATAGTGGTTGAGGGAGACAGCTGTACTCTGTTTATGGGTGCCTTGCTTTGACCGCAAATGTATATATCTGCTTTGAGTAACCCTCTGGTATGCCTCTTCTGTGGTTAAAGAGAGAGCCCAGCCTCTGACCTACCAGTTGAACACTTTATTTCAAGGATAATACCCTTACAAGTGTCCCTGTGATATAGCAAGTGCAAGGACCCAAAGGTGGTCCTTGCACTAGCTCACTCTGAAGCCCTGCAAAATGGAGATGGGAATAATTCTTTGCGGAGTTTAATTAGCATCTGGGATCACTTGGCTCTCAGCTGCTAGCTAGGGACGCTTGCGGTCAGTGCAGAAGGTGCAGAGACAATGGATGGCTGTAAATGCTTCCTAAATCCAAGAACAGGTGAGCTGTGCCAGTAGCCTGTGAATAACTGATGTCTTCCATGACTTTACAAAGATTCTCGGATCAAAAGATCTGTCCAGAGCTCTGTTCCTCCTAGACAGCCTATGTCAGAGGCTGATGGTGTCATCTCATGCTGTACTTACCTGCAGAGATGGCTTCTTCAGCCCAATAGCAATGTTCCTACCCTGTATTTAAAATATAGGGAGAATGCAATTAAAAAAAAAAGTCCTAGGCTGATGAGGAGCATGAGCTGGGGTTTAGGATTTTGTTTTAATTGCTGGGCATCTTTAATCTTCCCTCTTAGGCTACAGAGGTAAAAGGACAACTATGCATCACTGCATCCAAAAGATCTAGTCTGTAAAAGAAGAAAAGCTAATTGCATGCTGGTGCTGAAACCTGACTGATTAATTTCTAGATTAATTTATAAGCACTTGACTTGTCAGCAGGTTCCCTCTCTGCTGTTTCCCAGATGTTGGGGAAACAACACTATCAGTAAGGCTTGTGCAACCAAAACAAACCCTTCTGCAAAGCTGAAGTCTCACAGCCATGTGAGATGGTCAGTAAAAGCACTGCTCTGGCTGCCTCACTTCCTTCAGATAGTATTGCACACGATGAGCCTGCAATGCTGGGCTCCTATGGTATTGCTCCCCTGTGGGTCCATGTGTCCTTAAAGGGGCAATTAAGAAAATGAGGACTGATTTCTATTTTTTTAAGGTTTTTTTTTTTTGCTCTCATTCCTGTTATGTATGTTCTTGCATCTATCTTGGTGCTGCACTGTCCGGATGATACTTGGCTGCGCCTGCTGCATGTGCTGTGGCCCTGGAAATGCTAATACATGGAGAAATATTCCTTCGCATGTCAGCTCTGTTGCCATCAGCTGTCCTGTAAGTCGGTACTGACATGTGTTCTTGCTGTAGGTGTTACTCAGGATGTGACAACAGTTGCCCAGGAGTCTGATGCTGCTCTGTCACTTGTGACACTGGCACCTGGTGCTACTGAGGGAACAGGAGCTGCAAGCCTGCTGCAGGAAAACAGTGGGGAGGACACCCAGATGCTGACTGCTCCTAGTGCCACCCAGATGCTGGTGGCAACTGGTGCTTCCTCTGTGGTGAACACTCCAGATGTAGAAGGTAGGGTTCTGCTCCAAGGACTTATTTCCACGCAAGATGAGATGGTATATCTGAAACAAAGATCAATGCTTGGACACTGAAGTCTCAACATGCAGAATTTATATTTTAAGTTTCCTTTTCTCCTGGCAGGCTGCCTCTGGTACTGTGCTAACACTGCTTTCTGCCCATGCTACCAGATCTGCCATGCTGAAATATGCCAACATGATTTTTTGTTTTGGTTTTGATTTTCCCCAAATAGCAGTGCAGTACAGATCTTGTTAAAATCAGTCCAAAGCAAAAAAATCCACAACTATATACTTGTGTGCACGCTGACCTTCACCCTTAGATGTATAAGCCAGTTTTTACTTGTGGAGGGAGAGCTCTTGCTTCTGAAGCCAAAGGATGAAAATGTTTCATTGGGGTAACATGGGAGAAGTGGCAGCAAGGAGGACGCCTTCTTGGAAGAGTCTGGTGAGCCCTTGGGTGTGGAAGCCTGTATAGATACTCACTTTTGTTGACGAGTGGCAAATTCTTACCAGGCTGATGTAGCTTATACAGAAATACTTTAAGCAGTTGTGTTCATCTAGCTGCTGCCTACTGGCTTCTTGTCACCTTGGCAGGTACATATAGGAACCTCACTTCTTGACAGGAGTGTAGCAAATGTTTTTTTAGCACTTACTTTGAGCTTGAGTGTAGTTGTAGGTACCACTGTAATGAAACTGCTGCTGGGTAGCGTTTCTGGTAATTCTTATATTGCAACATCAGAAGTGTTGTATTCCTTTAAAATTAAGGTCCATTTGTAGGGGAGAGAAGGCTCTTCTGGCAGTTTCCACTAGTTAATTTGCTTCTGGGGTTTAATTATAAATTCAACTCATTTTTATCTTTGCAATATACAATTAGAGCTCTCGTTTGGTTCAAATCTCAACCAGTGTCTTGGTGCTCTGATCTTGTTATGGGGTGGTGACTAGCAGTCCTCCAAGCAATGGAAATAAAATCTAGCTGAGCCCTCATTAAGGGGAGCCTCCTGCACTGAGCGTCCTGGAGGAGAAGCTTTCATGACAGCAGAGTCACAGATCTTGGAAGAGGCAAAAGTTTAACATGGAGTGGAAGAAGTTTTAAGGAGGTTGTTGCTAAGTAGTGAGGGTTTTCATATCATGCTGCCAAAATGCCCTTGCTTCTGTCTTCTGTAGGTCTCTCAGATGTGGACCTGGTCACCAGTGAGAAGGCTGTTCCAGCTCCTGGTAGGTTGTCTGCTACACAGTCTGGACAGACAGAGGAGCCATCCGGCAGAACTGCGGTCCTGGTGACTCCAGCATCAGTGGCATCTTCTGTCAGGAGGACAGCTCTTCCATCTGTGAGGAGGATCAGTACAGCTGTGACCTATGGGCTGGACCGCCTTGAGTCAGAAGGTACCGCTGATCTCAAGGCTAAGAGGCAGGCAGCTTCGTGTGGAGTGCTGCACTTGCCTTGACGCCGAGTCCCCGCTCTGTCTGTTTGGCATGCAGCTATGCGCATATGTTACTGTTCCAAATAAAGTTGTTGAATGACCTGTCCCCTTCCAGGAGGTACAGGCAGCAAACAATCAACAGAGTTGTGGAGGATGCTTGAAATTCAAGTGGCTGTGATGGAAAGGATGGGGTTTTCCCTTGGAGAGGGAGCTGCAGTGGTATTGCTGTTGCAGTGGAGTCTGGATTTGGGTGCCTGTAACTGCTGCTGTGTACATCCATTGCAGAGCCTCTGTGCCAAGTAACATCCATGGGAACATGTTCAGGCAGCTAGAGAGCCCTTGCCACCCTACTGCTGAAATCCTCATCACTTGTAAGGCAGGGTTGCGTTCAGTGAGAGATGTCTACCTCAGTGTCCAGCTGGCTGAAACCTTGCCAGAACAAGTGATGTCCTATTTACATTCCCTATGTGACGCTGCTGGGAGAGACAAAGGATGCATCCCCTTTGAGCTGGAAGACCATCTCCAAACTACCTGCTAAGCTGCTGTCCCATCACTGGCTCCTCCAGCCTTGTCTCACACTCTGAGCTCCCTTCTCTTAAACTGCTTTTGCCCACTCCCAGTCTTGGAGTCTCTACTCCCTGGCTGTTTTCAGGCAGTCGAAACCCAGTGATGTGAATTCCATCTGGGCAAACATTGCTGAAGAGGGGAGACTTAGGTGAGGTAGGTCCTGCTGTGGAGTTGGTCTGCAGCTCGGGTCTGTTACCTTTTCAGCTCTTCCACTATTTTCCTGCAGAGAACTGTTTCACTTCTGCTTCTTGCTGTTTCTTCTACTTTTAACTCTTCTCTGCTTGCTCATCCATCTAGCTTTGTACTCCAGTGTCTAGACTGACGCTACCTGGCAGGGATTAATCTTTCTGCCTGTTTTGCTCCCCTTCCTTTAGCTTGACCTTCTCTTGCTTTCGTATTTTACTGCAAAGGTTGGCAGCCCTCCAGGGGTGGCATGCCAGATGGTATTTTTCTTCTGATTAGAGGTGGGGTGCCACAGACAACAGCTAATCAGCATCTTTTCTCTGCGTGAAACAATAACTTGCATTCCTGTTAAGTTTAGAGGGCAGCAGAAGCTGGGAGCCCTCCCTACTGCATGTGTGGGGTGCTGCAGCTCCTGCCCTCTGTCAGGCTTGCTGCTTGCTTTGATACCTGCCATGAGCTTTCTGGGCCTCCAGCTTCAGCGCTTGTCCCTTGCTGGGATGGATTGTGCACGTATCTGGCAACGCAAGGATGTGGCACCTGTGATGGGAGAGTGGCAGCAGGGGAAGAAGGACATGTGTGATGGGGGAAAACCTGACCTCAGACTGAGAAGTAAGGTTTCTGTTTAGCAAGAGCAGTATGATTCAGGAGGCTAAATTGTTTCTGGGCCCTCTGGGATCTCCTTTAGAAGCCTGGTTTTCTGCATAGGAAGATTAGAAGGATTTCTGTTTCAGCTAAGTATTTGTATCTCCCTGTTTAATGAGGCTTTCTGCATAGGCATTTAAAGCCTTTCTGCTCTGACATAGGACTGCTGCAACTTTTCTGGGTTTCTGGTGAACTCTCTTATGCAACCACAGGCCTGTTCTCTGATCTTGAATATGCTCTGAGCACCTCTAAGGGCAAATGTGGGCTGTAGCTAGAACCAGCTTTCCTACATGATGACTCCACTAGAAGGCTGTGGGTTTCATGGCTCTGAGGTGTTGATCTGTGGGTGCCTGTGATCCAAGGGACAAGGTGCTCTCTGGTGTGCTATCTGGTTTTGACAACTGGCACAGCTTTTGTGGTCTAAAGCTTTTCTATTTGACGTAGACCTTAGTGCAATGGGGTTGATTTGGTGTTGGGAGTGAGCAAGAAATCTTGTAAAATGGGACAAATACCACTTGGGGATAGGCTTTCTGCATGGTGATGCTACTGCTCTAATTAAGCACAAATGAATCTGTTTGAGCTGTGACTCTGCTTTCTAATATCTCTTTCTCTATGTAATGGCAATTAGGGGGTACCACATCCTCATGGTGGAGGGGGAGCTTGATTGCTGCCTCTCCCAAACCTAAAACACTTAGTGCTTGCTTTTGGAACATCTAGATGGTGCCACACAAGATGTTTGGGAGTGCTTTCCTATAAAGCCACACTGAGCTCCAGCCCAGGGTGCTCAGGCTCTTGGGGGATGTGGGTCAGACATTGCTGCTGCTGCAGATGTAAGCTAGAGTCCCTGTTGAGGGACCCTGGCCTCTGGCAGAGAGACAGTGGAAGAAGTGCAAGGAGCTGAGTGAGCTTGTCTAGTCTCCACTGCCTTCTGTGGGGTCTTGCTGACTTGCCTCACTGAGGGCCTGGCTCATCATTAAATGTAAACCCCTGCTGTTCAGCTAGCTCTGTTTCTTGGGGACCATCTGTGCCAAATTGCCTGCAGTTAATTGCATAAGTATGTTCACCTACCTGGCTTGGATGCAAAACCATTTTAAAAATCAAATTGCATAGACAAACATGAGGTGCTTTGAATAAGTCTGTGGATGAGCTTCTCCTCCTCTGTAGTGGACTCTGGAGAGATTAGCTGGGTAACAGATATCCTCCTTGACTCTATGGTGATATTTGCCCTTCCTAGCCAGAGAAATCCTATAAAGGGATTATAGGATATGGGGAGAGGACGCAGCAGAGGATGAGGCTTACTTGTCTGGGAGACTTGATTATATATTTTGTTCCTGTGTCCAGAATTTGGGTCTCTCTAACAAGCTAAGCACCATAGCTTTCTCTGTGGGGTTTCTGAGGTCCAAAGAGATACAATCCAGTTCAGCTTGCCTGCTCGGGACCAGCATGTCAGCCTCTCAACACACTTTGAAAAGAAACCATGTCCCTTTTGGACTAGATTCCTTTACTGTAACATCTGCCGTGGTAGGTATGGGCAGAGATGACCACACTCTTTAAGCACGGCAACTGTATGAGTCCTTGCTGAGTCTCTACATACTGTAGAGACTCGCCATTTCTATGAGGACCTTGAAAGTTATGTTATCCTTATATGCTGATCCTAAACCAGCAGTTAGTACAGAACTTGCCTGCTGCCAGGAGTGATGCCTCACCCACCCACAGCCTGGGTCACAAGCTGGTGTGGTATAAGTGGTTTACAGGGCCATCACCTGTGGGTGGGTGTGTATATGTCAATATGGACTTGAGGCTGGGTTTTCTTCTGTGCTACCACTCATGCCTGGGCAGCAAAAATTCAGCTGAAATGGTTGGAGGTGGCAATTTTGGAGCAAGGCACGTGGGATAGAGAATGAGAAGATGTGTCAGTATCCATTGAACCAGGTTAAGATTAATCTTTTTCTGACATGCAAAGCAGATATCACTGTGATACCTTCCAAGGTTACCCAGATGCAGCAGTAAGAGCTGCTTCTTGATGTACCTGTTCCATAGAAGCCCTTCACCTCTTACCCCTCCATGTACTGCCCTTGTTGCATCCAGGCTCATCAGGAGAACCCTGCAGAGCTGCTTGCAGGGTTCAGCTCACATAGGCTGCTGGATGTGAAGGGTGCTCAGAGCTTTTATAAAAGCAGGAGATGCTCTACCTGTTGTACAGTGTCAGGAATGGTCAATAGCTTGGTGAAAATGAGCAACTTAAACTCAGCTGCTCGTGAGGGAGATCTTAACTGTGCAGCTTTTGAGTGTGAAGTGTTCCTGATTAATCAGGCTGGCTCTCAACATGCAGCTGGCAGAATCCTGGTCATTCGGGTGGAGGAGGAGTCCAGGGGTTGGAAAGGCAGTGTCAGCTGTCTGCTGCCTAGGACAGCAGTGCTGGTTCCAATACCTTGCCTGGTTAGCTGCTGTGTCCCCACCAAATGGAGTATTTGGCTGTGGAGAAGCCCCTCCCGTGATGCTGAAGCACAGCTGGTACTGTCCTTGGGATCAGCAAATCCAGTGTCTTGCAGTCATGGGGCACCTTCCCTCCCCTTCTTATTTTGGACGCAAAGGGTATTTTTGCTGGAAATCAACTCTCTGACTGGGAGTGTTATTTAGACCCTGGCTGTATGGATTAAGACCTGCCTCATTAAATCTCTGCAACCCCATTAAAAATTTAAATTAGATTGCAGAGGTGTAAATAAGACAGGCATTTAGCCCAGCATGCTTAACTAGCCTGATACTATAATTCCTTGCCACCTCTTTGGATATCAGCTAAATTGGCAAGGAACAGAAGATATAAAGCAAAGCACATGCAAAATGAATCAATTATTAAGTGTTCTTGGTACACGCTCTTGTGTTGCTTCCAGTTTATTGCTGAACTAGGAACTGCTGCCCTTCTGGTGCAGGTTGACCTCCATCTTCTTCACAATTCATCCCTGATTCTCCTCCTATTGTAGCAGAAAACTGTAAAAAGAAAAAAAAAAGTGTGACAATTTTGCACCAAAATCAAGTTGGTTTGGTTTTTTTTTCCTTCCTGAAAGTGCTTGACCCCAAAGACAACGTTTCTGCTGCTAAAGCTGGGGATGACTTGTTTTGTTTCATGAAGTCCATCTGAGAATTGAGGAAGGAGGGGTGTGGAGGGCGGTCAAGATCTTAATCAAGTGGGAGCTTGGGGGTGAACAGGTAGGATGGTGCTAGGCTAATTAAATGCTCACTAGGAGTGAGGAAGCTCCAGCTGTGGGCAGCCAGTGTGCAAACTCAGCCTTGTCCATGCTTCCCTGCAAATAAAATCATAGAATGGTTGAGGGTTGGAAGGGACCTTTAAAGGTCATCTAGTCCAATATCCTGCAGAGTGCAGGGACATCTTCAACTCAATCAGGTTGCTCAAGGTCTCATCCAACCTAATGTTGAAAGTTTCCAGAGATGGGGCATCTACTACCTTCCCGGGCAACCTGTGCTGGTGTTTTATCACCATAATCATGAAAAATTTCTTCCTTATATCCAGACTAAATCTACATTCTTAGTTTAAAACCATTACCCCTTGTC